CTGTGTAACTGCCTCGAGGGTGCTTGACCAATTTAACACAACGTGGTGCGACCATTCCCCTTGCGCGGAGTGAGGGTTCCCGCACAACATGGTCCACTCGACCACCATTATGGTTACTGCCAAAAAAAAACACCAGAGGTAAAAAAAAACCCGGTAACCTGGTTGCCGAGCTCACGAAGTGAATTGGCTTGTTTTACAACGTCGTTGCCAAGCGACGAAAACCCAACCCCGATGGCAAACACCGATGGGGGGAGGTATTGGCTGGGGTGGATCAAATAATAAAGAAGCCGTCGATCATACAAACACAAATGACTGGCAAGAGAGAGGCAACTTGAGAAACATAAAAACACCGAGTAAGTGTCACGTGAGCAACATGCTTAGGAAAGGCCAAGGCTGACAGCGTGAATCGCGGAACACAAACAACCACCAGATCGACCAGCGAATTCACACCAATGAATCGCTTCCTTTTCATTTCCCTGAGACTCGGTTTGCATAAACACTTTTAGACTGCAGGACGGAGCACCCTTTCACTGCTTCGGTCACCACAAGTAAGTGGAGATGCTGGGCAACGATGTCACAGTCCGGAGACACAAATCAACAGCAGCACAAGCGTAAAACACCCACCGACAAGAACAAAAACAACAACAAAGAAACGAGAACAACTGCAATAAAATACCTGAGCAACGTGCGGAACTCGTCCTCTCCAAGCTTGCCGTCGCCGTCGAAGTCCAAGAGGGAAAACGCGCTCTTCAGCAGGTGGTCTTGCTCCGCGGTAACCTGATGGACACGTGAAACGGTCAAGAATATCGATTCGGCAACGATAACGATAACGAGCGCACGAGAGAGGGGACCGGGGACGGAGGAAACACGCGGACAATGCGGTGACTATTGTTCTAGTGCAGCACGGATGCATGGTAGCATGGTAGCGTAGAGGGAGACGAGGCTCTCACGACTTGGTGCATTTGGCGGTCGCATTTGGTGTGACGTCATGTATGTTCCAGGCAAAAACGAAGAAGATACGAGCGGATGGTGAGCAGGCAAGCCATCAACTATGCGGCTAACCTCCAACCTGTTCTGTCTCAAACACGCCGCAAATCGCTTGAGTGCCATTCTTGTCTCTCTCGACTTATCTTACGGGACGGGATCACAAAGTGAATTGGAGTTGGTCTATCTAGCTTGTGTTCCCTGTCTCCCTGCCCTCCATGGCTGTAACGAAGGTAGGGGTAACATGACAACATCTCACCTGGCGCCCGACAGGCGGGGACTCCGGCTTGAGTGCGGTTACGTCGGGCACCCAATCCATGAGCACGATGACGTTCTTGATGCGGCGGAATGTCTTGAAGCTCCAGGACTGCTTGTAGTGGTTCCGCGACACGTGCATCGCCTTCGGGAAGACGATATGCTTCGGCTGCAGCAGTAGCAAAGAAGCCAAGAGAGAGGCGTTGGTTTATGCCCAGATGCAAGTACCCAACACTGCACCCACCACTAACCAACAGCGAAAACGGGACGGGCAGGGATACACGATGTTCGCGACACCTTGGCACACGGCACAAGTCTTGTTTTGATCTTGAACGGGCTGGCGCGTGATCAACTGAGCATGACCCAAGGCCAACACGTCTTGGTGCCAGTGAGAACGACCGACCAACCCAGACAACACCAAGGTCTACGACACTACTGTTGACACGACTAGATATTCTGTACGACGGAGGGTGGCGTACGTTCACGACATCAATCGGGAACCACGGCCCCACGAAAAACGTGGAGCAAACGCGATGTGATCCAAACACACGTCGAACCGGGAACCCTTCTCGCTGTAAAAACATCCAAGGACGAGACGCCACCACCAACGCCAAACCTCCACAAGTAAAAACACACAACACTCAACAGAAAATCCCGTGTCACCTGCTGAATGAGCTTCGTCAGCACGCCGAAGTCGCTGGCCGGGTAGAAGCCAAGCTTGGACGCCACCGGTGTCGACAGGTCGCGAATAGCCCAGCCCTTGGGCACCTCGTCGTCTCGCGAGTACTTCATCGGCACGTATTCCTCCGGGTCGTCGTCCATCACCACCTCTTCCTTCTCCTGTTCCTGCTCCTGCTCCTGCTCCTGAAACCGCCGGTCAACACCGGTACAGCGCGAGAGTCGGTGGAAGGGTGAAAAACTTGGTCCAAGAACGGCACGGCATGGTTGTTTTGTAGGCAAGGAATCATTGATAATTTCTGATGGGCGTGGAACAACCCTAACAGTAACTGGTTGCTGATTTCTGATGGAAAGTGCGCGGTACATGCTCCTTTGAATTCGTGTCACGTGTCGGCTGCCCCTTCAATCGGGTCGTCAGTCGTACGTGGCAAACTCTCGTTTTTCCGTCGCTGACTATGCTCCCATACCCAACGACTCTCGCTGAAAGCAGGACATGCACTGACGGAGCACTACATTGGTTGGTATGAGGACATCACGTTGCAGGGCTGCTGGCTGCAATCCAGCAGCACGGTCGGAAATTGTCATTTTGGTGTTGCATGAACTGAACGGTCTTACAGTGCGGCGGTGGCGACAACGACAAAGAAAGCCAACAACTACAACTTGAACAAAACGTATGCAAAGGAGCTGAATACAATGTGCGGAAATGCAAGCAACGCAAACTTCTCGTGGTTGCCGCAGTCTTATCACCACACGTGTATTTCCTGGCAAACCACTGTGTTCCTGCTGGTGTTCGTAAATCCTGGCAACTAATGCGAACATGGTTTTGCCTAACAAAATATGCCTCATCAAAACGCGGAAGGCTAGACAACATCCCCAAGCGCGTCGCCAAATCAGACGCAAATCACTGGTACCTTTGGATAATTTTCGAAATGGTGTATGTTTCATTACCTGTTCCTGCTCTTGCTCTTGCTCCTGAACTTGCTCCCCCTCGAATGCGCGCTCCTGTCGAGTAAAACCCAAAATGCAGAAGTACATGAAGCATGACACCGACGGCAGGACGACGGGCTACGAACACGCAGACCTATTCGGCGATGTCAACCCCAGAATCATGCATTGTGTTGGCAAGGGTGCCTGCCATTGTGCGACGTCAACTTGAGTGCACCAGTACCCTTGCTAGCCTTCTTGTTCAAACTCTCAGAACCGAACCCCAGGTTGAGATTCTTCCTACACCGTGTCGCCCGTTTTATGGCCAACGATGCCACGTCCTGCCTTCCATTGCTGTATTGCCGTAGCCTTCGACGTCCTCCTGCAGCAACAACTTTTCTCACCTGAGCCACCTGCGAAGGGTCCCCCAGTCCTTCCCCTCCCTCGTCATACGAAACCCCCAGTTGCCTCGCCAAGGATGGCAACGCAGGCTCCGGGTCTTCGGAAACGCTAGGCGCGATCTCTCGCATGTATGCGCCTGCAACGAGACACGAACAAAACATGGGGGGCGCACAGCGCTTAAATCCCCACATGAGCGTTGAGCGATGTTAGACATCCAACGAAAAAAAAAAAAAAGTTCGAACAGTGGGGAAGCACTCATACTCATACTTCTTACGCGCAAACATAGGAGGGTCAAACTCGCAACAAACGCGTGGGGCTCTTAAAAAGTTTAGAACAATCATGGGTCGGTAGCCGAAACCAACAGAAGTGATATCGCACATGGTACACGAAACAGCGCAGAAGAACCCAAATCCGCAAACGCTTCGCCGCACGAAAAAAAAGGGGGGGGCATCACAGGAAAGCGACGAGAAGCAAGAAACCAAGACACACAGTGCGAGATAAATGCAAGCGATAGAGCCGCAACCTAATAAAATCACCTGGGAAGTTTCCTTGTTGCCCCCTGAGGGTGCCCGACCACCATCCGTCGTCCCCCTTTCTGAACACCTCCACCTTGTCCCCCACCTTGAGGGCCAGGTCGCCCACGTGCTGAGGGGCGTAGTCGAACATTGCCTCGGCCATGTCTACCTTCGGCCTGAACAAGCAGTAGAGATAAGAGACAACGCGCATTGCATTTGTAAATTTTGGCGCCGTCGTAGTCATTGCTGTTGTTGTTTAGACACAATTTGCTCTTCGCCAAAACTTGAAATACGAAAAACGACGTCAAGCAGCGCTTGCGGCCACATTCAACCACGAAACAGCCAGCAAGTTCTCGACACGCGCAAGATCCTACAAGCTGATGTCGAAACAGTGAAACGGGGAAGGTTGCCTATCAAAGCGAGGGAAGCCCTGTTCAAACTCGGTTGCATCGTGCCTGCCTGAGGTTAAAGACACAACGCGAAGGTGACTGAGGGAATGCACGAAGTGGTGCTCTTATCGCTCCTCCAAAATGCCGGCTCCACATGTAATCAAACCCATTATTGTGATCACATGTCGGTTCTGCAATGTCTTTCCACACGAAGAACGTCTCTTCGACTTCACGGTCTACATATCTAGACTCAGACAGCCCCATTCTCCCCAACCTACCCAGCAGCAGCCCTCTTCAACATGGACGGCCTCTTCAGCAGCCGAGGGGTAGCGTCGCCCGAGCCCTGCTGCATCGAGCTACCGCCTGAGAAGGTGATGCCCCCAGAGCCACCCTGGCCTGCCGCTGGGTGCGCCGCCTCAGACTCCATAACCAACCGGCGGATCTCCATCAGCACCTACGGTACGTATGTTGGTATCCGCCGCAAATGACGGTTTTCCAAACCAAGGAGGCGTGCGGTGGAAAGAGTGTGGCAAGTCACGACAACATACCAGGTGACGGCTCGACGGCAAGTTGATAGCCCTGTCTCTATTTTGTGGTCCGTGTGCCTGATCAGGTAACGGCACGCTGTCACCCTAATGATCGGACCCATCCAGATAGCTCGCCAGAAACTTCTCTCAGCACCATGTTCCAACTTTACCTCAAAAATGTCAAATCAGAGCAAAGAACATCCAGCACGGTTGCAACAACAGCCGAAAGCGCCAACAACACACGAACATGACAAAATGATAACATGGAAAAATTAGGCCATCCATGGCTGTAGAACCGATCAATGGGTGCATCTTGTATCACCTTTCGGTCCTCTCCCTCTTGCACCAGCCCTCGCCCGTCAGCTTCCGCCACCTTCCTCATTATCTCGTCCGAGAATTTCTAGGGCGTTGCGGGGAGGGGATGCGGGTGGGGTGGGGTGGGGTGGGGTCCTACTTGTTGGGCTGTGAAGCATTGACCATAAGATTGGCGTCTGTTGCAAAAGGCTTGGAATGCTCCGCCTACTGATCTAGAAAATCGAACGAGGTTCAGGATACCCCCAGCGTTGCGGCGCACAGGAGCACGCCAGACAACGCAAGAAAAATAGCAGGTAGAGCGGTATAAGACCGCATGGCACGGTCGCCGGTGGAGTGAACCCGCCGAAGTGAGAATGGGCCACGGCGGTACACACACAATCCACAACAAGGGTCATACGGTTGACCAAACCTCTCTCCCTAATTGTGTTAGGTCTCCTTCGATGTCTTCCTCCGACTCAACTTACACGCTTAATCACAGTAAGGACAGTATGGTCATGCGGTTGACCAAACGTCTGTCTCTCATTGCCTCTGTCTCTGAATGCCTTTCTCCGACCACCACACGCACCAATCCAACAGGGACGGTGTTCTCGACGTTGTGGTCCACCCTCTCGCGGAAGGTGTCCAAGCAGCCCAGCAGCTTGTCGGACCCCTGGGCGTCCTTCCCGTACTGCTCGAAAGCAGACTTCATCGCAGAGAACGCTCGCTTCCGCCACACGTTTGACGCCTGTTGCTCCATCAGCAAATTCCACTGGACCTGGAGATAAAACCCATGTGTAAATAACCTCGTGCCGCAATGATTAATCACACACACTTCAGCGTACATTGGTATCACCACGATAACAGTTATATATAGCAGAGAACCCTCGTTTCCGCTACACGCGCCTGCTTCGTCGTCAGGCAAAGGGTTAACCGAGGCGCGCTCGGCCCATACGTACAGAACTTATCACATACAGACAGCAAACCCACCTGTAACCATTAAAGCGTCTTGGCACCCTTTGTAGCTTGCGGGTGTTTCATTGAACACCTAAGGGCTACAACATTCCGTCTCTGTTCTGTCTTCGTAAGAATACAGCACACCGACCACGCACTATACGCATTTTCTCTCCCCGACATGATGTTGGCTGGCGTACTCTAGTTCTGACGCAAGATGGGGCTTCACGGCAAAGTACAACATTGAACGCAACAGAACGAGCCGAATTACCTTCTCTGCTCTCATGGAGTTGATGTTCAGCCAGCCGCATATGTCCCGCAGCATTTGAGCTTCCATCTGGTCCGGCGTGCACGCCTAGCAGTCAATTTCCAGGACACCCAGACAATGGCAACGTCAAACGGCAAGCAGCACGAAAATCGACCTCGACAGGCGGGGGCGCCGATGTATGATTGTTCGGTGTGCGTTACGTGAACCGGCTTGTGCCCACAAACGTGTTCCGTGACCTTGTCGAATTGAGACGGCAGACCCAAACCATATGAATGTTGAAGAATCAACAAGGAACGAAAGCGTGTGTACATGACACACCGTGCCTGGAGCATAATCGAGCGACAACGAAGCAAACGCGCGACACAGCAATCGCGAGATCAAATCAACACCGCCGATGGACAAGTGCTGCAAACTCAATAAACGCATCCAGTCGTTCGTTCGCGCTAAGCTATTGAGCATTTGCGACCGAAATGGGGCGAAGGTTTGGAGGTTCTGTTCATGAAAAACGAGAGCTATTCCAGTCTCGAGCGGCGAGAGAACAAGAATCATCCAAGTGAAACAAGAGGGTGTCTGGCATGGAACGCCTGCAGTCCACAGGTTCGTTGCTCATGGTCGTGGTTAAGACACCATCGTGGGTTGCAACAAGACAAGAAATACCACCTTGCACAGCAAGAAACAACAGCACCCTCGCGGCAACCTTCCGCGCACGAAAGGTAAAGGTGCATCCGGGTTGTTCCATTCACGAACCTGCAGCCTGACGTCTCGCTGATGGCGGGACACGCCCTCGCCGGCCGCCACCTGGCTGCTGATCAGGCGCTGAACTTCCGGGATGACGAGCACCTGCAAAGAGCCGTGTACATAGCCATGAAAGGACAGCGAGCAAATGAGCAAAAGCAACAGAGAGCGATTAACCCGCTTGTCCACCTGGCACGTTCTATTGTTATTAGTTGTGGAAGGCGGAACCCAACATGAACATACTAGTCTACCTGACAGGCACATTCGTTTGGAGGGGCTCAAGCGCATGACCTGGGGCTGGCTGCACGCCTAGGCCAATATCTAAAAACGTGAAGATCACCGCAACCACCATAAAAAATCAACAACGGGGGAAAAGCAGCAGGAGCAACATCAGCCAGAACACCGACACAGATTCTGTACCTGGACTTTTTGTCCCTTCCCGATGCCTCTCATACGGAACGCCCCCTGAGCGTAGTCCCGGAAGGTCATGTCCTTGCCGAGTGTCACCGCAGCAACAGCCGACAGACCCTGCTTGATGTCCATACCTACACGACACGGTGGACAACAAGCAACAACCGATCAAACGCATCAAATTGAGGGCTGGACCGTTGTAATATGGCTGGCAGCTTCGCGGTTGTCGTTGTCGTTGCCGTTGTCGTTGTCGATACACATAAGCACCTTGGCGGGATACAACGGTGACAACGCGTAGAACTCTACCTCAACTTGCGGAATACAACAAAGGTTGATCATTGCCAGATGAGATACTGAAACGGGCCGATTGGGCCCCCGCCGGAACGAGGTGCTGAGGAACAGGCCCCGGCATCGCTGTCGGTGTGTACTGTAGCTGCGTATTCGTTCGATCAAGGCTGTGACGGGATCAATGAGCCTACAAGTACGCGGGTCGCTACTGTAAGCGAAAACAGTTAAATGCAACAGCAACATGAACATCAACGACAGCAACAGATTACTTTAAGCCTGTGCTTGGGCTTACCCGTGGTGTGAACCTGGTCGTAAAACGTGAAGCGCAGGTCCGGTGGCACGTGGCAATCTGCCAACGGGAGGGGCCGCATCCCGCCCGCCCGAGTGACGATCATCTTCCGATCCGCGTCATCAAGGTATATGACGCCTTCCAGCCCATCCAAACCCACCGTCAGCAGGTGTCTGCACGCAAGTATTCCCGCGTCGCGCCAGCGAGAGCGACAAGGCCGTTGATCGGAACTATGGATGCATGTTTCAGCTATCAGACCCAATAGTTGCGGTTCGAGTTGTTAATACCGTGCGTGCCGTCAAACCCAAACCCCCGCGAAGCAGAATGGCCGAAAGCACTCTTGAAGGTACATCAAGGTAGTTGAGCGCATACGGCGATAGGTGCAGCATAAAACTGCCCCACAGGTTAAACCCTGCACGTATTGGAGCGGGGACGATTTTCCTGTCGAGCTCTTGTGCGATACGTACGGCCGTCAAACGTTCAAGTTCCTTTGGTATCCTCCTCTCCTCTTCATGTGCTCCCCACTTGTCCAATAACGCACCAAGTAGTTTCCTAGGTTCCACCCACCTGGCGACCTCTAGATTGGTCATCCCTGTCACGAGCGCCCCGCCATCGATGAGAGCGTGGAACGGGGGATCGGTGGACCTCGCCACCTCGCTCAACAGACTGGTCACGGACCACTCGGTGCCGAGAAGGCGGTGGGATGCCACAGCGGGGTCTGTGAGGTAGTGGACCATCATGGCCGTGTTTCCGAGCTCAAACTGGCACCTGTGAGAAGAGTAATTTGTGCGCTTTGTGAAAGGAAGGTTGACTGTCAGAGGAGGTCCAGCGTGTCCTTCGATAGCATGACATACAGTATATGTACGCCACGGCGGTTTCATAGTATCAGCGACACGTATTTTTCGTGTGGTTCGACAACACTCGCCGGTTGGTACGACCTTAGATGCGGCACAACAACACCAGCAACAGACATAACTTCTAGCCTCCCCAGAAACTACCATGACGGGATCGACAACAATAACAACCACGACAACAACAGCTGCATCGGCAACAACGACGACCGCGAAAACGATGCCGACAAGGAAGCCAATACCGCGCACACGAAATAACTGGAGGCGACAAGCAACAATCTCTCGAGAACCCTAACCTGCCAAGCTCGAGGGGGAGCAAGTCGGAAGGTGTGCCGGAGAATCCTAGCTTGACCTCGAACAGCATGTTGCCGCCCACGTCCTGGCCGTTGGCGGCTAGCTTGAGCCCCCTGTGCTCCATCGTCTCCGGGAAGATCAACGTGTCCAGGTAGTAGTCGATCACCTACAGTAGACAGATGCCGTAGATCGTGCGAACCACGGACACGAGAACACCAGAGCAAGACATCAGCTTCGACGTTCTGTAGACGACACTAACGCTCTCCACGTGAGCTCATTTCACGCCACCTGTATGCCAAGTTGCAACAGAGGGAGGGCTTCCTATCTACACGGGGGCAGAATTACCTAACACCGACCCACCACGCAGCTCCAAAATCAATTATCACGAATCGATGTTCAGAGGAACACCTCGAGACCGCCTTGCTAGCAGCATGTACCAACGGACCGTGATCGGATCAGGTTACACTCAAGATAAAGGATAAGTCGGATTTCGCACCTGCGGTAACCTCCGCAAGAGCCTGAAGAGCGTCCCCACCATTTCCTCGTCCTTCAAGTCCACCAGCTGCAGCGGCCACAGGTTCTCGAACTCCCCTCGCAAAACGCCCGATTCTTCGTCGGCCGCAGGGACGGCCCAACCCTCGCCGTGCCCTTCGCCATCCAGCTCGATGAGAGAAGCGCCTGTGGTGCCTTGCCCCTCTGGAGGAGGGGGTGGAGGGGTGCCTTTGGAAGCGGGGACAGGGGTCATCAAATGCAGGGGGTAGAGATGACGAGGGTTTGTTGCGTGCATGTGATGGTGGATGAGTTAGTATGCGCGTATGGCTGGGTTGATGTGGGTGTCTTCAACAACATGTTGCACGAGAGTTTTGTGAGTGACTTGTTGGATCATAAACGGACCAAAAAAACGGTTACTTGTCTCATGTGATGTGGGCTCTACAGGCTGCTGTAACAGGCTCGTGTTCAAAACCAGTAGCTTTGACGTTAGACGGGGCCCAAAACCCTGTTACTTCTCACCGTTCACTCCGCCCCCGTGCTTCACGCCTCTCACGGTGCCCCCTGCCAGCGTGACCCACCGCACCAACGTCCGGCAAGCGGGGCGTAGGTGGTAAGGGCCGCTCTGCTCTTCTTCCATCTCTTCCTTGAGGGCCCGAAGGTTTGCCCTGAAGTCCGACATGCGCAGGCCCTCGTAACGGTAGGCCAGGATGGTCAGCCCTGACAACACAACAGGAGCCACGGCGGTCAGCGGTAGACGCCGATGGCCGTGTGATGGAGACTGTGACAACCTCCGAAAGCGAGACCCCATTCTTGGTGGCATCAACAGACTACGCGAAAACACGGTTCGATTCGACTCACCGACGACGACGTCCGGGTGGCTGAACTCTGACGCCCTCGACGGAACGTCCTTGCCGACGAACGGGACGGCCAGCAGCTTGCGCGACTTGGGCATCTTCGGGTCGGCCTGATGAGCGACAACGCACACAAACCACCAGCAAAAAATGACATCCACAGCGAGGAAAAAGGCGACAAAGAAGGCGACAAAAAAGTTCAAAAGCGATGTACTTCTACAACGCGCCAATATAGCGTGGCACAATGACACAATATAGTCCCAGAGCCTAGCCTCTTCCGCAAAACCGGAGCACACCTTCGCCCACCACAAACAGCGGAATACATGTGACTTGTGTCGTCCGGGTCGCACCCGATCATGCTCGAACACTGATGATGTCTTCCAAATGAATGTGTCATTCTAACCCCTGGACAATAACTATCTCCAGGTGCATCAACTGGCGCCTGCGGAGTATGCACCTTTGCAACCAAACATATCTACTTACACAGACACCAGCCACGAACCAGTTCTCACTTCGATTAGATCCTTTACTATACTGCTCGACATGTAATACCTCCAAATCCTCTCTAGGCCAAACGCTGATGCCATCGAGAATGGATCTGAGAAATCCTACCAACGTGTCTTGTCTCCCGAACATTGAAGGCATGCAACGTCACGCCAACTGCTAATTTAGTGTAGTGATAAATCTATGCTCGACAGGTGCATCAATCGTAGATCACCTCCAGGGCCCTCTTGAGGTCGGCCGGGGTGAGAAGGCCAAAGCTGACACGGTCGATCTTGGTCAGAACGTGCGGCAGGAAGGACCTCAACCAGTCGTGCGTAAGGTTGAGCATCTGTGGGAGAACGGGAATGCGGTGTAATATGCAATGCTTGGCGTAGAACGGAAAATTTTTGAGCAAGACCAGTCGTTCATCAGTCTAAATAGCACCAAGACCAAAAGAAGATACAAGACGGAAGTGAAAGACGCAAGAGGGGCAATCACTTTCATTATACGTCCATCCCCATGCGACAAGAAACAAAATCGCATCACCCATTTAAAACCAACCCTTGGTGCGCGCCTAGGGCTAAACAAGTTAGACATGAGCATCAACCACAGGCATCAACTCAACGCCAACACCGGAATAGCGCTGTGCTTTCGTTGCGGTTCGCGAGCCCGCCTCTTACCTTGATGTGATCATCGCTTAGCTTGGACTTTATCTCCGCCTTGACCTGCTCGCCCGATGACGTGGGTCCCTTGAGTAGGTACTCCAACGCCACCTTTCAACCAGAAAACAACAGGACACAACACAGAAAAAAACTGCAGTGATTGCCGTGGCGAACGGACGGCGAGAAACAAAACAGCAGGCCTTTCACTTGACAGTGCACGGCGCACCAACCAACCAACCACACGGTCGCCCCGGTGGTCTAGTGGGTAGCCTCGCAGCCTGCTAAAGGCCAGGTCATGGGTTCGAGTCCCGGCACGGAGATTTTTTTTCTCACTAAATAAATCCTGGTCTAGGATGAAAGCGACGCGCTGCAAAGCTCGTTTGTTAGTAAACCATAATCGACTTCGTAAGTCGCGAGGGAAGGGATTGCTGTACCCTTCTCGCGATAAAAATACCTCAGGCATGAACCGCAGGAGGGGGGTCCAACCCCCCCCTCCTATGTGACCCCGGTTGGGTCGTCTAGCCAGTAGAAGTGGAGGATAGGGGCCAGAGGGGCAGACGGCAGAGTCCAATGATGGGAGAGAAACAAACAAAAACAAAAACTCTCCTCAGTCAAGAATGCTTCGGGTTCTACTTTTTGGTACTTGTACCACATGAACGGTGCTGATGGGCAGCAGGGTGAGAAATACGCCATCGACAGCGGAGGGGGAAACTGCGAGCAACAGGCGGGTGTGGTGCCACCCTCATTCCACACCAGAAGAGCAAAATACCTGCTCAACCATAAACTGCGATAAAAGTTAAATTCTTCTACCAAAAAACTAGCCGCACCTCGATCCGGTGACATTTACCCACTTCATGAGGTACTGCCTCTCGAAAACGTCCGCTCGACAGCGCCAAAGACATTGAACACCGTAATATACCTCATCGGTGACCTCTCTCAGCCGTCTCTGCCGCATCCACAGCAGCACCCACTGCGCCAGCAACGGCATGAGCTTCTCGTGGTAAAATTTCTTCGACAGCAGCACCACGTGCGGGGTCTTCTGGAGCAGGCGGGCGGCACAGCCCTCGTCGATGGCGACGCGAATCTCCTCCAGGACCGCTTTCGCTCTGAAAAAAATGCACCGACATCAACAGGAATAACAAGCGTCACCAACAGCCGAGACAATCGTTCTCGCCGCGAAATCGCAGCAAAAACAGGAGGGGTCAGCTGAGACTGCCCTTCTAGGCAAGCAAGCTCAAGAACAACAAGTGCTGCTGTGCAACTACAAAATAGACGATGCATGCGTTTTGGGAATACTTGTAGGAGAGATAACTTGTTCTTTTAGTATTGACGGCGTGCATTGGAATCGGTGTCAGGATCGCTCGTCGTGCCCGTGAAGCGAAGAGGGAGCCTCCAGCAGACCGAGACGACTTTGCGGTGAGACAACTTTGTGGTGAGCAGCATCGACGCAAAAACACGCAGACAACGTGACACAAACACAGTCGCATAAAGTGAAACACAACCTACATGTAGCATCATCCCCGACAACGCAAAGGTAACCTTCAAAAAAGATCCATCATCCCACCTTCGGCTGTCCTGGAAGGCCAAGTCGACCACCATCCTTCCCTCGGTATAGTAAAAGAACGCCTCCAACAGGTGGAACGGCACCTGCCACCGCAGGCCGTTGCCAAGCTGACTGCCTGGCCTCGCCCGAGTGAAGTCTAGGGGGCGCTTGACACCAAGGGGCCAGTTGAGCTCACTCTTGAGCGGCTGAAGGATAAGGTCCACCTGTGGGAGGAAACCAATGATGCCGACCAAGGCCAAATATTCTCAGAAATGGGCGGAACAAATTTGCAAGATGCGTGCGTACCGCGCTATTGGATGCACAATGTATGATTGAAGCACGAGAGGCAAGAGTGCCGCTCGCCAGCCGCATCAGCTCCGCGGAAACATCACTCTGTTGGGCATCGATACATACTGTACCACAGATCCACGAAGGGTGGACCCACGACCTCAATATCAATAAACTGGTCTCCCTTTCGGTACCCTGCACGCGGACAACGTAACCACACAAAGTTCCCAGTAGAACATGGGATTCCCTGCATAGTCTGTAGTCCATCACGGTCGGCGAGAAAGTCAACTTTGACGGGCTACTGCTGTACCTCGTCCAGCAGCAGTGCGGCGCCTCTAAAGACCGTGAGCACCCTCACGGCAATCTCCGCCTGCCTCCTCAACTCCGGCACGGGTTCCAGCTTGGCCGGCGCCCTCCGCCACCCGGGGCGCATGCCCAGCGCACGCCTATTAATTGTCGTTTTTCATCAAAATACGAAACGTTATAAACTCCAGCAGCAGAGGAAAGTAAGCGAGAAGAACTCCACACACCGACAATAGACACATGCAACAATACGAAGATTTCAAACGTAACATGTATCCATATCTTCCAGTACGTCACTGCCGACAAAAACACCGCCGCCCCAGCTTTCACGTTCGCAAAATGCCACAAACACGCAAAATGCTGTCGATGTGCCGGGTTGCAAGGACAGCCGCGTACCGGATGCCCCCGGCAGCCCCGGTGTTGTCCTCCCGAATCTCAGCCCTCTCAAGTCGGCTGGTGTCGAGCTTATGCAGCAGCTCCACCAGCTTGAGCATGAATGACTTGACGGACGTCGGCGTCGTCACCATCACGGAGCGGCGGTCTCTCGCCTCTACTACCTGAACAAAAAAAAAATGAAAATGTTGTAGACACGCGTGATACCTTGTACGATGGTTTTCTTTCTCTCCTGACCGCCGGAGCTCTTTGCTCTCGGAGCAGCACTGCTTCTTGAGCGTGCGTCTAACCAAGTGAGCGATGGTGATGGTGATTGTGGACAGATAAGTTGACACCACGTTTTCTGCGACGAACGCTTGCGTAGGGAGCACCTCGACGATCTTCGCCTTCACACCTTCCGCCTCTACCACAGCACTGTCAACTGTCGCGGCGACCGCCACAACGCGCGCAAGTAAAATAACCCAACCAAACCAATATCTCAACTCCATTCCAACTTCCGAGCACACAAGCAACGGTGAGTCGCGTGCCGGAACAAATGGCAGGGGCTCAGCAAAGTTCACAACGACATGCCGAGGGCAGGGGTCGGTAGCACGGTGTCTCTGAAACAAACACCACGTGGTTCTGGTATTGCCACCCAGAAGAGCTGGAGCATGTTTGTCCCGCCAGCAATACAAACATGTCCATAACGGCAAACGAGTTGTACCAGGTCAAATCGCAAATGAAAGACCTCGTCTTCACAACTCGCAGACCCTTCAGCGACAAATATCCCTCTGTAATACTCCAGATTCGTTTGCCGAACACCTCGCAACGTCAAGCATACCAGGTGTGAACTGTGTCAGCATTACCATCGAGTGTCGTTGAGGGGCCGTGGGCGAAGGCGAAGGCGAATACGCATTCAACCTACTGAGCAAACTCCGGGATAGAACGTACGTGTGCACCTCTTTTCTGCAACCGTCCTGAATATATGATACACAGCTTACCTTTTCTAGGATGGCGGGCGTAACCTCCATGAATCGGTCGAACTTGAACGCGTAGACGGGCCTGTTGAGCGTCACGCTGAAGGCGGACCTCATTACGTTGAAGCAGAAGTCCAGCAGGGGGTCGGGCACCACCTGACCGATTGATCCGACCAAAAGCAATCGCCGCAGCAAAAGCGACGAGACACGATGGAACAAAAGGGCCAAATCAACTGCTGCTGAGGGAAACACCGATTTAGCCAGAAAGCTTATGTTACGCTGACAGCATCTTGGCAGACTAGCCAAGAGAGAAAGTCAGAGAAGCTCCAAACACTCTAGATTGTGGGTGCACACGCCCATTACCTTCGTGAAAATACCAGGTACCTTGCGCTCAACAGCGAACGTGGGCGACTATGTCGCCACCGACGATGTTACCAAGTATCGTGCAAATTCCGAATTTCCATCTCGAGCTCGATTCCGTCGTCATGCTCAATATCTGCAATCGATGGGACAACTGATACGTCAAGCAGCACTCACTCAAGCTACCCTCGTGTCCAGTCTTGGAGCAAGACCACCAATAACTTGGCGCCGTCAACAGCGGCAGCTGTAGAGCATCGTGTTTTACACATGAGCCGAATGAATGCATGCTCCACCACCAGCAATCAACAACCCAAGCGCAGAGGTCCATTCTTGACCCACGGTACAATAAACTCCATTTGGCACAATCAACCAATCCAGCAACACTGGCCGTCGACACCAGTGAAAACGGTGCACATTCCTTCTTGAACTGCGGTGCAGCAGTCGTGACCGAAACACTACGCCCACCGTCAACCGCGGTGAAAACCGCAGTCATGGGTGTTCCAGTCATGAGCATAGCCTATGCTGTACCTCCATCACTAGGCGACGTCCATCGGCGAGAAGCAACCCCAACGTCGGCGCCACGACGGTAGTCTTCCCCGCACCCATGATCATCTGGTGGCACATCGACTGGCCCGCCGTAGCCTTGGACATGAACCGTCCAATCAGCGAAACCTTTTCCAAACAGGGCAAGGAACAAGCAAAGAAGGAATATAACGTACAGTCTAGGACGAGGACGAGGACAGCTGCATGTATCTGAAAACATTGAGCACTGAATGCACACAAATTTTCAGATGTCGAGTTTCAAATGAAACTTTGTTCTTGAACACACGCACGCATTTGCCCAGGAAATGGACGTGCCGATGCCGGTGATCGATGACAAACTTGGAACTTGTTTTCGATTCAGGTGCAAACCGATAACTCGCGAAGGGCACACCAAAGTTGGCACGGCACACCTAGAAGTGAGCTAGGGCGACAACACTTCTGTCGTCAGCGATAGCCCCCAGCCCTAGCAAGCTACAGGTGCTGATAAACGATAGACAATGGTAGACCAAGGGCGAGGACAAGAAAGGTCCTGGGTAACAAAGCAGCTTCATCGAATCGTTTGCGCCGCGTACGCATACGGGACGACACGCTTTCAAGAAATCCACCTGCGATTGGTGAAGCAAGATGCTCGAGTTGAACTCCACCAGCAGCAAGCGGGGATCGAGAGTGGTGTTCCCCTGCTCGTCAGGGAAGACGTAATGCCTCCCCTTCGACAACCCGTCCGCAAGAGCCTGGCAAGGGAAAAATAGGAAAGGTTTGAGAACACAGTGCGCGCATGCATCGTTGATTGGTCAGGAACGAGGGGACGGTGTTCCTGAATGAGCTGGGATTGCTCGGCAAGACGATCCGGATAGACCGTGGGGGAGGGGGGCCAGTTATCGGAAAATACCATCAGGATTAACCGAGAACGGCATGAAATACCGCAGGGAATCGGTTGGAATGATTGAAGCAAAGTCGCAATAATAACATCAACAACGGCCGTGTAACCGGCGCACCTCGCTTCGTCGGGTGAGAATCTGCGCGTGCTTTTCGGCAAGCTGTTTGCTCCCCCCTTGTTCGTGCAGCCCCTTCAAGGCAGATAGCAGGCTGTTCGCCATCGTCACACACCTGGAGACCGGTCGAGGATGGGTACAAGCGTCAGACATGTCGCCGGTGTGATGTCTTCACCAACATGCATCAAAAACATTGTTCTGGCTCATATCTAGTCGATGTTCTTCCACGCGATGCATATTCGCGATGCTATGACGTTGTTTTCCGTGTTCAAAACGCCCAAGGAAAAAAAACATGTACAGGACAAAATACAACCATTCGCGAACATTTAAGAAAATTAACGAAAACCCATGAGTCGACCGCGACAGGGTCCAGCATCGACTTAGCAATCATCAAAGAGCACTTTGGACGGTGGTGATGCCTGATCAGGGGCGGGGGGGGCGGGGGCGTAAACATTTGTCGCGTGTTGTCGGCACTGGTCTGAAACCACTGCAACTCCTTCCGGTCACCCACTTCATACAGGATCACAAGCTCCCTTGAACCATCCTCTCAGTCGACAAACGCTGTCTTCGCCGCTGCGCAGTCTGACCCGTCAAAGATGTGTGGCGGCCCCTCACCTCTCGCGCGTGTGTCCTCACTCGAGTACCTTGCAGCACTACCCGCGAAAAAGCATCACTTCAGCCCAAAACGAAAACTCCCCGGAAGCGAGGTAGAGAACTCACCGATTAGCCTGTGAAACTCGGTTGGACACCAGCAGCAGGCCCATCAAGACATCCAGCACCTCGCGCGCCACCGTACGGGAAGCTCCGGGGCCCTGCAACGTTAGCCACGGGTTGATGTACCCCAGAATCTGGCCCGGCACCGAGACGACAATAGCAGCGACGGGAAGCGTAATACCATGGTTAATCCACTTCCTTTGCGGTAAAGTTGGCGGCGCGCGTCGTCGGTTCTCTGACCACGGGTTTTCATGTGCACCGCCGGTAGCCAGCCCCCAACTTCTAACGTTCGTCTTGCTCAAAATCAACACACGCTGTGGACTGTGGACGTACCCTCACGCCTCGAGCACGGCAAAGGCTCTAGCCGTATCTCACGAGGACTCTATTAATCACATATCACGAGACTCAGAGCCGAGCAAGGCAGCTTGTTCACTCACAAACGGCGACCCACTCCCTCACCTCCTCTCCCTGAGAGCACAACGACAGCTCGGCCAGCATCTGCATCGATGGCGCCAGCTCGAGACCGACGGACCTGCCGAGGTCGAAGCCCAACAGCTGCCGCCGCTGGTCGTTCGCCCCTATCCCCACCCCATCGGGCGGTGCCACCCTGCCGCCGGCGCAATCTCCGGAGACTGTTCTCTTTAGAGTACCGAGAGCTGTCCTGACCCACGCCTTGTCCTTGAGGAGCAGGGCTTGTAGACCCTCAACCAGGCCGCCCAGCTTGAAAAACAATATATATACACATATATATACATGTCAGACGCGGTGATAAGAAATTCATAGCATGGATAAATTCGCCCCGCATGAAAGACACACTGCTTTGTACTATGCTTTGGGGCCGATGTTCTTGGAGTGAGGACAAGGATAAGAGGGCAAGCTCGACACAAAAGGTATGCGGTCGATACTTGGGAGGTGGTTCAAGGCTCAAGAGCGACACCGACTCACTACTCGTGTCTCCACAGGCACGCGCCCAGTGAGCAAGGGAACGCAGCTCTGGCATGAAGTACGCACCATGCAGCAAACGGAAACAGTGTGTAACAACGGCCAGGGCTTGGACCCCACGTTTCGCATTCGAAGAACCATAAGCAAGGTCCGAATTCAAAGCAAGCGAAGGAATTTCGGGCTATACATTCGGAACCTATTTCACGAGGCGATGTCGTTGTGTCCGTCACAAATCCCAAGCGTGAAATCAACAGCATTTTTTAAACATCATGGATCGCATGGTAAACTTTTGTGCAAATGGACAGGTTTTTTGGTACCACGAAGGCCACGCAAAACTTCCGACCACAGCTCCATAAACATCGCGTAACAAGAGCGCGCGAAGACAATCAGCATTGCCCAACACAAGGAGCGCGGAACAACAAAACAGACTAATGAAACCGGAGGACTCACCCGCTGCACCGAGGCGTGCGCTGAAGTTGGCTGCCTGACGTAAGACGCCACCTCTTGCATGGAGAATCCAACCAGCTCCGGGGTGGTTTGGGTGTTGCTCTTTGTGGCGTCGCGAGGACAACCAAACGACAGCGCATGGCCAAGCCAACAAGGGCCAGATGAAGACACATCAAGCGTCATGTAATAGTGCAGTTCCGCTACGGACAGCAGACTTTCGAACCGGTCGAACTCCGGGAAATACAAGCAGCGGAGTGCGGAGGAAAAAATCGTGGACCGTCACAAATGCTGGTGGTGCTCCAATGAAAAAATTGGCCACGGTTACCGTGGTATGTGTTGAGCACAGCAACGCCGCCTCGGTCATCGTGGGTCTTTTCAAGATCAAGATCGATGCCAATGTTGAGTACACGTGACGTAGAGTATCGACAACCTTCGACGAGAGATATGTACATACATACCTCGTTGGCGAAGTACTGCACATCTTCCTTTAGGCGGCGTAGCATCTCCTTCGCCACGTGTGACTTCGCGGACGGGTGCCCTTCCACCGCAAACGGGAGCCGGGACTCCACCTCTCTGAGCCCTGTCCCATCAAAACCACCAAGAGCGTAGGTACAATCCGAGACAGGAAGTTGGGGAAAAAAACAAAGCAAAGTGCTCATCATCTTTGAGTACCCACCTAAACCTCCACAAGGCCCTGCCGAAGAGTCCATCGAGGATCACAAGCGGCGACCCCATGTTCAGGGCTAGCGAGACATCATGCCGTATTTTTTCAATCTCCAGATACACCACTCACCTCAAATGGCGACACACCGCGCCAAGAATCAGCGGTTTGTTTTTGCGTGTATCTTGACTGGAATTCTAATTCGTACCTGGGATGATATACGGAGCCCCCCGGACCTAACCTCCGTATCAAAGCCACACCAGCAGCGGCACAGAAATCACAGCAACACATCTTCTCTCGTCGTGCGCTGACCTTTGTCTCTTCTGGTGATGGTCCGGACGTACGAGGAGATGCCCACGGGTGCGAGAGGGAAGGTTGACAACGCCTTGCAGTCGTCCGCGGTCAACGATAGCTGCCCGCCCTCCGACGGAACAGTCTTGACAGCACCAACAATAACAACAGCAACGTGGAGTAACACGAAGAAGAGAGCAACACGTCAACATGAACGAGGAACAACACCGATGGTGAAAGCATACACGACCTCAACAAAGAGTTGCTAAAAAAAATGCCTCGAAAAAGAATGCAGAAGAACTACACAAGAACACATACGACAAAAGAGTCCTGACAGCACCAACAACAAGAGAAACATGGAAAACAAAAGGGAAACTACACCGAGGATGCACCGTAAACGCGAGGGAGACGCGCCAGCCGCGTGCCCACTGCTCACGCAGTTGCCGCGAATAGACAGAATAGTAGACAAAAACGAACTAAAACCCACAAGTCAGCGCGGAAAAGTTTTTTTTCAATGAACAGAGAATCGGCGCGGGTCTCGTGCCTAGTACCAAGCAAACCGTTCCCAGGTTGAGTTAATATCCAGCGCCATTTACCGCGAGAGCCAATCACAGGGCAAACACGATCAAACCAACCTGGCACGCTCCCTATGGCTACACTACACTACAGACCCGGCCACCGCGAAAGTAGGCGGGAATTGAGGACGCCAGGCTCAGAATAAGAGACATGACAGCTCTTGACAACAAATACAGGTTTTCAGCAAAAAAAAAGTACACCAGCACCAATGTACTCGATGTCGAGTTGCTCCACAGACAAAATGACAAAAACAGGCAAAAACAAAAGGCTTCAAAGTTGTGGTCCCTGCCTACTGTACCCCCTCTCACCCATGGCGCCAGCTGTCGCGAGGACATGGCCGCGTCCGGCAATCTCAGCGCGAACCACTTCCTGTCGACCCGCTGCAGCACCGACAGGGTCGAGCAAGACACCGTCGTGGCCGGGTGGAAGACCAGGTGGGACCGAGGCCAGATGACCGAGCTACGCTTCGCCAGCAGGTACGAGTGCGCCTGGCGGAGCAGCTTCTCCTTGGTCATCTGCAAGGTAAAGAGTAGGAGGTGACACAGTTACGCGAAACAATTGCACATAGTCTCGCGTTGAGTAGAAACATAGTCTTGCGTCGAAGTAGTACGGGAAGCAGGTGGGAGTGCGGCTGGCGGAGCAACTATTTTTTTCGTCATCAGCGAGTTCAAAATCCTCGCGTAAAGTGGAGGTTTGTTGAAGGCGTAGACAAAAAAAACGCTGTCAATGGCAACCTTTCGAGTTCCTTGGGATTCACCAAAATACCAATATTAGCAAAGAGTAAATCGAAAGACGCAAAACAAGTAGTAGAGGCACTGCAGAGGATAAATTCTGTGTCGCCCCGCATCGGAGCAATGTCTTTGGACAAATAGGCAAGGCAAGACCGTAACTGTGCTTTTACAATCTACCAAATGTGGCGGAAAACATGTGGTACCATGTCAGCAAGGACAAACGGAAAAGGTTTGCAAGTGTCACTCTGCCACAAACGGGATCCACACCCTTTGCCTTGAGAATCGTCCCACAGAGGGGGTTACGGTGTCCACGGCACCACCCGCCACCCGAAACCTGCTGAACTCGGTTGCCAACGCTACCGTGGGGCCGTCGCCACCGCGTCTGGCGACGACCCCAGGGTAGCGTTGCGCACCCGACTTGAGAATAGTCGTTAAGGGTGGCGGGTGGTGCCGTGGACACCGTACCCCCTTCGGTGGGACGATTGATTCCTCAAGGGAAGTGTAGACAGGTGGGACAGGTCACCGTGCTACCGCCGCCGTGTTCCTCAATCGAGGATAGGTTTTTGCGATAATATAGCCCAGAGGGATTGAAACACGCCTTCGAAGCGAGGGGAGCGTGGGTGAAATAACCGTTTCGTTTTCATGTAGTCATTATGGGCATATGGGCCAATTTGTCCTAACGTTTATTGTTCTGTTCCTGCAAGGGTTCGTACCGACATCTTCCAGCACCAGAAGGACAGCTCAAGACTGTGCGGACAACGCTAGAACGATACCGTTGAACAACCAACCAGAGCGCTGGAGAAGTGACGCGAGTGAATATACTTCGTCAACGTCGCGATGACATGACCATGCTTTACGCGGGTACCTTTGGCTGCCACTTGGGAGCATCGACGGCGAGAGACGGATTGTACGCCAAGGCCTTGAGCACCGACATGACAAGGTCTTTGCGCTGCGTCTGTTCCCAAGGCAGCAAGCGCAGCAAGATCGCTCCCCAGTTGAACGTGTTGTCCTCGGGGAGCACCTGCCACAGTAGTAGCAACAACAACAAACAGCAGCAACATCAACGGAGCGGCAACAGCGATAACAGCAGAAAACGGTGTGAGAGATGAACGGCAGCCGAAAAGTGTGATGCATAGTTCATGTGGAGAGAGAAACGTTCTCGAGAGGGACGACAATTTTCGGTTGGCTGGGAACACATTGAAGCAATTCCGCGCGCAGGCTAATCTTGCATGGTTTCTCCGAGGAAAGGCTCCATCAGGAGCTTCAGACAGGTTACCGGTGCCACGGACATGAAACAGAACATTCACCGTGGTCCTGGTGGGCAGAAGGGATGAAAAAAGGTCAAATTCGGTATCCTATTTGCCCGTTCCAGCAAACACCAAAGCAAGTGTGCCACACGTTTTTTATGCTGAGACCAAACGAGAAAATAACCAAAAATAATCAACACCCCGTCGCCCCGAGGCACCCAACGAAAAACATCGCTGTGTGAGCACGCAGGGGGGTGGGTCACCTTGAGTCCCATACTCCCGGTGAGAAGCAAGTACATGAAGGGAAAGCCGAGGCCGTACTTTCCCTCCTCCAGCTTAAGGCCGTCCTCGAGCCACTGGTCCAGAGCCAAGAGCGCGACAGCGCCGCTCGCATCCACCGGCGGACTGTAGCTGGTTGAGATGACGTGCTTCATCTGGGGGCAACGGGTACGGGTCGTGGCTGCGAGCGTCAACAATCAATCAAGCCTGCAGCTCGGTGATGAGTTCTCACTTCCGGGAGGGCCTTTGCTTGTTGGTGGAAGCTTCTTTGATCTTGGGAAAGGGAAATGAGGGCGGGACTGTGACGCCTTCGCAGATAATCAAAACATGAACATGAGCACCGGGTGATAAGTCTGGCGTTTTTCGTTGGGGGCGACTGGACCTGGAGAACGTTGCACGCTCAAGTCAAGAGTGGACCTGCTGGTGTGGCGTACTTGGTGGTCGTATGGGGAACGAAAAATGAATGAAAACTTTGGGCGCCGCACAGCGCGTGGCAGAGACTCGTGTGCAAGCAGAAGATACCACGCGGACGTGTACGTCCATTCTGACGCCAAAAATGATTTTCGCACGCCCACGCGAAACGCAGTCTCCTCATGCCATGGCGACATGCTGGTAGATGACTTCCATTGGTCATGTACCTTGGAGAAGAGGCCTCCCTTCTTCTCCTGGTCCTCCATGCACGAGTGATCCACCAGGCCGTCGAAGGACTGCAGCTTCAACGGGGGGCGGCTGCTGACCCTCGCGGTCACCTGAACAACAAACAGTAATGCCAGGGACAATAACACGAAAAGCATACCAGATGACCACGATGACAAGAACGCAGGCAAGACAACACGGAAACAAGCCTACGAAACGAGGAACTATCTCCAACCCGAGCCTCCAACAGATACATCCACAGTTGCGGAGGGAAGTGAGCCCAACCTGGCACGGTACGGTACCGTCTTTGCCACAAGAGCCGCGAGCAACTTGTTGTTGAGCTCACCTCTCCCGTTGTTGACCCTGCCCGCGCGTGGATGAGGGCCTTGAGAAGCTCTCTCCGATTACTGGCCTCCAGGCTCATCTCCACGCGAGGCTTGATCGGCTTGAACTTCGGCCCAGCCTTGCCCAGCAACGAGTCCAGCAACCTGTTGTTGCATCGTGTAAATCAACGGCAGCAGCAGCAGCAGCAGCAGCAGCAGCAGCAGCAGCAGCAGCAGCAGTAGAGCAGTACCAAGAATGTTAATCATTGGCAAAATCGGACGAGGAGGAGGAGGACCCTCAACAAAGGAAACAGGCCCTACTGCCTCTGCTGGAGCGGACAAGTTATTCGCCTCGGGTACCTTCCACCGCAGCCCACAACAGAACCTCATATGGAAAACTAGGGCTGTATCAGTACGAGCCGACTGCCTCGAACAACAACAACCACAGCAACACTAGCTGCAGCACGGACGCCTCCATCCCATGTCTTGGGGTATGGCCACATTTTCATTTTTCATATCTAGAACCTATTTGAGCGTGAGCTGGACCCGCAGGACTCTCTCCCGTAACCGCCAAAAACCGCACATGCACTCCAGGCTGACGAACCGCCGGTCAACGGAACAAACCGTTCACTCGCGTTACACGCCGTGGACTCATGCAAGACGAGTTTCACACCCACGAAATCACAAAAGAATACATGCACAGATATACTTAGCAACCCCTTTCTCGAAAACACATACCTTCCCGCTTGTGCTCCTATGGACGAGTGGGCCGCCGATCCCGCGGCGTTCTCCTTAGCCGCGGCCTCCATCGCCTCGCCACAGACCTTGGTGGCCTTGTCCAGCACCAGCAGCTCCTCCTCGGGCGATAGCCGGCAGTGTGCGGACACGTGTCCGCGTCTTGTCACGTACAGGTGCGCCTGGTTTGGTTTCAGTTTGGTTGAGTGCATGAGAGAAAACGACCGATGTAGTGCATCGAAAATACCTGAGGTTGACTGGCCGCAGCGGAGGAGAGAAACGACCGCAGCAGTGGACCGAAAAGATGTGAGATGGATCAGGCATGATCAGCTTCCCCGGCATATGCCATGACGTAACGTTCCAGTCTACTGCCAGTCCACAAACCTGCTCCGCGATGTCCCACGGGAGCACGGCTGACATCTCCGGGCAGGGCGCGGCGGCAAGGCTGAGTTTGAGGCGGCAGGACACGGCGTCTGGGTGGTGGTCGTGCTCAAGGTGTCCCAGCCAACGAAGGCTTCCCGCCTCCTCTTTGCCTAGAGGCAGGTCGGTCACGCAGCCCTCCACCATGGAGAAGGCCTTTTGGTAACGCCAACAAGGGGGGGGGGGGGGG